GAATTCAGGTCACATGAAAATAGGCTAGCTAGACGTCTGCTTGCCTTTGTTGTATGTTTGTCAAGTGGATGAGATTAAGGTCCATGGTCTACTTTTTGAAACCCAGACAGGATTTAAATATACTGGCTCCTCCTCTTCCACTTCCCACTCTGTTCGCTTGCACTTGTTCCCCCCACAAAAATGCTAGACAGCCAGAAAACACCTGACATGTGTTTGTATGACTGCATGAAACCATTACAGCCATTCTTTCTCTTGCTCATCCTTCCTGATTTTTCCTTCCCCACCCCTTCCTCTTCTCCTTCTCCTCCAGTCATGTGCTATTTTCCAGCCTCCTGCATTGTCATTTAGTCACAACCACTCATGCCGCTATTTAATGTCTTCTCTCCACCCAGAAAACACAGGCCTCATATAAGCTATATAATAGTCGCAATGATCCCCATTTTTACTTGATTTACCATTTACACAAACCTTACAGGAGGCTGTGTACATACACCTCTGTGTGTGAGTGTGTGTGTTTGAAAGCTCTCACATTCTCATTCTGCCGCACCTCAACATGCTGGGCACGAATGTGTTATGTCTGCAGGTATGTTTGACCTTTGCTATCTGTCTGACAAGGGAAATTATAGAGTTTACAGATGCAATCAGTGACTGGGAAGGACAGTGCCAACACAGTCTGAGTGTGTATGTGTGTGTCTATCATACCCATGCATGTTTTTATGCAAGTGATTTTTGTGTGTGTGTGTGTGTGTGTGTGTGTGTGTGGTGTGTGTGTGTGTGTGTGTGTGTGTGGACAGGGTGTTTAGAGACACAGACATGTAAATCCCTGTAAAGTAGGAGCTGGCATCATTAAACCAATAGCTTAGTGATTCCCTGGCTGGTCCCATTGCTCACTGCAGGCTGTTGCAGGGCAGACAAACCAGACATATTAAGAAAGAGTACTGACAAAGACAAGGGCATGGAGATAAACACAGACAGATACACAGTGAGACAAACAAAAAGAGTGAATAGCCACACCTATAAGGCAGCTTGAAATCTGTTTGAGAATACAAGACGGAATATTTGCATTTTTCATCCTAGATGCAAAAGCATAATGAGGAAAAAATGAATATGAATAAGAAAGATGGAGGAAGGAAAGCATGAAGAAAAAACAAAAAAAAAAAAAAACAAAAAAAAAAAAACCCACATGGACAGAGAGAGAGCCAGACTGGCTGAGTAGCAGCAGCCTGCCATGCCTTTGGGAGTTTTTTTTTTTTTTTTTTTTTTTTTAAAATAGGTCATTGTCTGACCTGCATTATGGTACCACGGGCATGTCATAATCACACCATTTTGTAGGGCATTGTGCCCAGGTCGGCCTCTTATTACCCCATAGCCTCACAAACATCCTTCGTCTCTCTCACACACACACGCGCGCAAAAGATATTGCTTGCTCCCAGAACTACAGCAACAACGCAGACTGCCAGTCCGCGTCTAGGATCTGTTTAGGAAAGACTGTTAGACAATCGCTGCATCACTCTCTGTGTGGAGGGGAAGTCCAGCATATTTGCAGACAGACACCTTATTATCTGGCTAGCACTAACAGCAGGGGAGCTGGGGGCAAAACAGCAGTGGTTGTCGGTGATGACACGAGGGATAATGGAAAATAAAAAAAAAATAAAATAAAAGATGACGTCAACAGTGGCAACAGCACTCTCACACGCGGATAGGTGGGCAGTGCTAATTGATCTGCTGCTAGCTGTGCTCTGTTGTGCTGTGCCTCAACCAGGAAAAGACCAGGGCACAGCGGGGCTACCTTAATTACCATTTGGAAGCAGACAGTCATTAGGACCCCAGAGCACCTGCTGCCTGCAGGGGTGGCACTCCCAACTGCCCGAGAATAAACACAAAAAGAGTCAGAGCACCAGGGGGAGAGATCATAAGAGGCTGACAGATATACAGAGAGACAGGCTAACAAGTAATCTAACACCTAGGTGGCTAAGCCTAGCAGCGTCTTCACTAGGCAGGTGAGGAAATATATTCGAAATAGACTAAAAGCTCTCAGCAGGATACGGTCTTAATGAGTGGAACCCAAGGAGACAGACTTGATATAATGAGCTACATAAAAAGGCATCAGTCTGACTGGTATCAGTCTAAGAGGTTCCTTAGAATTTGTTAAAGTCAACCTCATTATAGATCATTTTATTTATTTGTCACTTAACTTTTATAAAGACCACCTTTAGATTTATCTATCTATTTATTTCCCCATTTACTGGGGCTTGTTACTAACCTTCGTGGGCGTGCAGAGCTAAACAAGAGCTGTGTAAAGGGGGCTGCATCAATGGGCTTGTGTTGCTACAATGAAATATGATTCAGGAAGTCCAGTTAGATCCTGGAGTTTGAAGGCACCAAATCCCTGTCATTTGTGTGAGGAAGTATTTTGCTACTCTGGAAAGCTATCACAGTAGCAATCGCTTTATGTTTCATTGTGGTAACCACAAGGTCAACAGCAGAAATATGGAGTTCAAGTTACAAAATAATCTACCAGGAATGTGTGCTTGCATATATTTGATTGGCCAAATGCACGCAAACGTTGCACTGATAGCTCACATTGTCTTGCCTGATGAAGATCTCTGTTAGATAGAAAAACTGCTTTGTAAAATTAAATCTACTGAGAGTTTATAGTACAATGTGTAAATCTTTAGTCTTACAGTGGCCAACACATATTTACACTTACATATTGTGTTCCAGCAAAAGTTGAGCCCTCGGTCTTGGCATCCCCACTGTGTCAATGGTCTGGTCCCATTCAAATGGATGAGGGAGCTGAATTGTTTCCGAGCAGTGCTAATGTCTGTGTGAACGCAGCCTTAGAAACAGCAAGTTATATTTGATTAAAGCTTACGTAACAGTAACAAGTGACTACTCCATCATTTCTTTCCGGCAAGTGGCTGTGCAATCAAAAATGATGGTTTTGTTGGAAAGTGTAACTATCCAGTGTTGGGTGCAAAGGACTTAAAATCCATCCATCCATCGTCAACTGCTTATCCTGTGTACAGGGTCATGGAAGGGGGGTGGGGGCAAACGGGGCAAACAGGGCAAACAGTGTCAATTTGCTGTCCCCTCAAAATAACACATCACACAGCCATTAATGTCTAAACCGCTGGCAACAAAAGTGAGTACGGTGAAAATGTCCACATTAGGCCCAAAGTGTCAATATTTTGTGTGGCCACCATTCTTTCCCAGCTACCTTAACCCTCTTGGGTTTATCAGAGCATCACAGGTTGCCACTGGAGCCCTCTTCCACTCCTCCATGACGACAATCACGGAGCTGGTGGATGTTAGAGACCTTGCACTCCTCTACCTACTGTTTGAGGATGCCCCACAGATGCTCAATAGGTTTTGGTCTGGAGACATGCTTGGCCAGTCCATCACCTTTACCCTCAGCTTCTTTAGCAAGGCAGTGAAGTGTCATTTCTTCAGTGTCACATGAAAAGATATAATCAAATATTTACAAACATGTGAGTACTCACTTTTGTGAGATACTGTATACAAACAACAACAACAACAACAACGACAACTCACACTCACATTAAGGACATTTTAGGTGGGAGCAAGCCGGAGCACCCAGAGAGAACCCACACAGACACGGGGAGAGCATGCAAACCCCACCCTTAAAGGTCTTGGACGACCAGGGTTCGAACGCACAGTTGCTGTGAGGCGACAGCGCAAACCACTGCACCATCAGACTACGATACAAAATCATCAACTGTAGGCAAATACATTCCAGGTTTGAATTGGTAATGAATTGAGAAAGGTAAAATGTATAGGCGTCCTTCACCTTCCTCATCTCTCCACCCTGGGTATTTTCACATGAAATGACAAGAAGGTGTGTGTGTGTGTGTGTTGTGTGTGTGTGTGTGTGTGTGTGTGTGTGTGTGTGTGTGTGTGTGTGTGTGTGTGTGTGTGTGACAGGATAATGTAACATTCACACTTCACTCAATCACTTCCTACTTTCAGGTATGAAATCATGTATGAAGGGAGACACTGATCCCTGTCCTTGCACGTGATGTTGTGCCAGAGTCTACATCAGCACCATGGTATTAGATGAAATGGACGTGGCAAAACTGCCATATTTAACAATCTCGAAGACTGAGAAGTAAAAGCTGAAATTACACGAGATTCCCATTTGTGACACTGATCATAGACATTTCACATAAAATGTGCAGAGGGGAGAAAGATCAAAAGAGGACAGAAATATATTCCCAGCAAAGTCTCCCTTTTTAGTGTCTCTAAGCTGTACATAAAAGCAGATAGTATTTTTAATGTATCTGTCAACAACTGTAAGTCCTCCTGTGGTCCCCAGTGGAGGCTGGTGTTTAACAGTAAAACACAGTGGTGATAAAATATATATGTCTTCATAGGAGAAGCTATAATTGTTGAAAATAGTGTACATTAATAAACACTTAAAATGCCTTTATATCGGCTTACAATTACATTATAGTGTATTATACAAACCATATATTAAATATGATATACTGCATAAAAAAGCTAAATAGGGGAAGTTACAGTAAAATCTTAACCTAGCAAGATACTTATGGCATCTATTTTACCAATTTTACAACACTGGTTTGAGAGCATAGCCGCATAATAGAACTCAAAATCTTTTTCCATGTGACTATAGCCCAACCAATACTGGATATTTGAGACAAATACTGATATAGATATTTGTTGTATGACATGGATACTGCATTTTTTTCAACAAAAAAGTCTTGATAGGGTTTCCTTAGGTTTACAAAATAAATTATGACCAAGATACATACTTAGCCAGAAATTTTACAGTTGAAAAGTCAACCTGTCAGTGTTCTATGGTTGAGAAACCATGTAACACTGTTTCTAAATGACCTCAAACCTAGTTGGGCATTTCGGTTTTGGAATTTCTTGTTTATCAGCCAAAATATACACAAATATATCTGCAATACGCTAATTCATCGGTCTAACTCCACTTGGGACCTTGAAGACAGCATTAGTATATGTCGTATTTATTTGAGTCATCAACTGACAATGTAAAGCCCACTCAGACAACAAAAAAAAATTACAACAAAGCAAAGCATCTGTAGATTTTGTAAAACAATCTTGTAGCCTAATAAGAAAAGTGGCAAATTCCTGGAAGGCCTGATAATAAACAGAAGGCATAATGTTTATTATCTGTTGATATATCCTCGGGCTGTGCTTTTTCGCTAAACAAGAGGAATGGTGCTACAAAGCTAATGCATGTGTCTACTCTGGCTATTAAAAAGAGATCACAGATTGTGACTCAACCAGTGCACATAAACACTTAGACAGGGTGGTCCAACATGCTTCTAGCTGTGTGTGTGTCTCTCTCTTCCCAGAAATATGCAACAGTAAACAGACTAAGAGGCAGAGGCAAGTAACATTACCACTACCACCGGCTGGGAGTATAAACAGTCACACATAATGCACAGCACTCCTATTTTTTGTGTTTTTGTGTACCAGCTCATACAGTATGTCACTGCACATATCTCAGGTAAGAAAAAACATCTGCAATCAGAAGTGTAGAGAGGAACCATGGGACCCCTTGAGAGCTGCCGTGCTTGGACTGGGAGCCTCTGGATGTACCCTGGAGGCCCTAGCCCTTCACTCTTTCTTCACTGACAATAACCAGACACAGCACCACAAACGCATACAGGGATGGGGATGGGGATGGGGATGGGGATGGGGATGGGGATGTGTATGTGTATGTGTGTGTGTATGTGTATGTGTGTGTGTGTGAGAGAGAGAGAGATACAGAGACAGATATTGACCAAGAGGCAGAAAGCAGGGGTGGGGGGGCATTAACACATAAGCATAATGCACCCAGCTTTAACCCACAGCATAGAACATTTTATGTTTTTCATATCCTCCTCTGAGTCGCTCCCTCGTAAAGAGAGCAATTTCATGACCAGGACAATCCCACATTAAACAAACATTAGTTCTCTCTCCAGAGCCAGACTCCAAATTACATTGTTTCCAGATGCCCATCACAAACCCACCCTCTCTGCAAACCCCCTCTCATCTCCTCCTGCTGCTTCTTTCTGCCTCTTTCCATTGTTCTTCTCTTCTACTCATGTTCTGCTCCTGTTTATCTCTCCCTATAGTTCCCCACACTTCCTGCCTTCCTGATTAAAGATGCAGATTTGTAAACACCACAAGAACAGGCTGTTTTCAGCTACACAACGACTGGAGGAGGAGAGGAGGACCAGAGATGGAGATAACAAAAGGACTCGACAGGATGAGACAGAAGTCCTCTTTTTAGATGTCACATCTCCAAAGCCAATCACGGACCGTAGCCAGTGTGTGGGGTCTTTACAAGTGGCCAGATAAAGATAAGAAAAGCTATGCATAAGGTTTTATGTAAATTTCAGTTTAAGATTCATTCATAGGATAGAAATAAATGGCTGGTCAGCTGATGTTTAGTTGATAGATAACATTTTAAACCATTAATGTCAGTTGTATGGAATAACCTTAATTTCATTTGCCAGACATTTGCTTAAAATTTAGTCTATATGCAAAGAAAGTTTAAGGGCACGTCACACAGCGTTGAAAATTCAGTCCAAATGTAATTCAATTCAAATGAAAAAAATAAAAAGACACTACAGAGTACTTAGGGGTAGCAGCGCCTTGAGGTGACATTAGGATGCTAACATCTTCATAACATCAGTTTAACAGGTACAATGTGTACCAGGTTTACCATTTTGGTTTAGCATGTTTAAATACTAACATCTGCTAATTAGCACTAAACACAAAGTACAGGTGAGGCTGATGGGAATTTCATTCTTGCAGGTTTGGTCATAGACGACACATTCAATGTTTTACCACATATTTCTATTAATTCATCCTGAAGTGGACATGAATGTGTGATACTTGAGGAAAAGTAATCAATAAAGTCATAAGAAACATCCTCTCTGTAATTTGAATGTCTGTACAAAATGACATGGCAATCCATCCAACAGTTATTGAGATATTTCAGGTGGCACCTAAGTGGTAGGCAGTGCCCTCTATAGAGCTACACCACTTGCATGGCTAATAACAATTAAAAAAAAAACCTGAGGAGGAATTCACAAAGGCTGACAAGTTGAGCACAATCAGTGACAACAAAAGCCAGAATCAAGGCCAGGCCGGAAGGTCCCCAGCCCTCTGAACGGGGAGCTTCCAAGTTTCTTCAAACACTCGAAAAAAAAACACTGATGAGGGCCGAGACATTCACTACTTTAATACATGGGAAAAGCTGATTGTGTGCTTTTGTGTGAGCTCATATTAAACTCAACTGCTGTCCAAGACACAATTAAACTGAATGTGTATTTCTCTATGTGGGTGTATGTGTGTGCACATGCTCAGAAGGAAAACAATACAACATGTTCCTTTTAATCAATGCATGTCAATAAAGCAAAAAATTTGACTTCTAGCTCTGTACAGTACTCACCGGAACCCTTGTAGACATGGGAACTAATGTAACATTGAGTTAGTATAGTCTGAGCTCAAGGATAACAGCGGTATCAGAAAAGTTGACCAGCTCGGGCTTAAAAAGTCTATGACCCAGACTGGATGTCACACAGTGTTCTAGGAAAAAAAAAACCTCATTGTAAAATTCCCATGAAATAATCATCCTGGAGATCTGCTGTGTGCCCTTGAGCAATACCGTGTGTTTGTATTACTATATTCATTCTGAGTGCACTCTCTATGGACAACAGCTGGCCGGACTGATATCTTGATCAGAAAAGATTTAATCATAGCAAGGTTATCCATCTCTCTTTATATTTTTCTCTTCCATTTTTAGTCACATATAGTGGGCGTTTATGCATGTATATAAATAAAACTGAGCATCAAAATAAACCCTGAAGCATCAAAACAAAGTTGGCTATTTGAATTTTATAGGTTTTTGTGTGTGTATGTTTATGTATGTACATAGATGTCTGTTTGTAAGGGGCCTCATCAGACAGTCTCTACACGGTTGAAGGAGCACTCAAATACTTTCACGTTTCCCCAAACACCTTAGGGCATCTATGGGGACCTCCTAATACATCTCCAACCCCCAAACACACACACACACACACACACACACACACACACACACACACACACACACACACAGGACCCTGCAAATCTAATGAGACAGCCAGACTGAAACGTATACAGACAGACCTTAAGGCAGAGGTGCATGAACACAAATACAGACAATTATACATAGTTAATGGTCAGCAGAGTGCACTCATTGGTGAGGCTACTAGTAAGATCCATAGATACTTGATTGCATTGGGACAACATCCTGATTAATTTATTGGTTGATACTCCCACTTAGTTACTGCTCTGGTGCTGTTAAGATTTCAATTTCAGATTAATGCTGATGTTTCAGAGAAATTTCAATATTACTGTGGTGCCACTCAGAATGACTAATTTTAACATTCAATTTTATAAACACTCAATACTTTCATCAAATATTATTCTACAAGTGGAGACTCCATTTCAGTACAAATTAAATGAGTGGGACGTGGGCTGGAAAACAAATGAGAACAAGACAAAAGGATTGAAGTAGACACAGCTGCAGACTGCCACTTCACAGCGGGCCTGCAGCAACAGGCCTTAAATTTGATGCTTTCGAGCGGCTGAAAACATACAAACAGCATCAAACAGTGCACCCCATCCTCAAATGAATCCCAGTGAGTCCTAAAACGGTTGACGTAACTGATGCCAAGAGCAAAATGTGGAGTTGTCTCAGTCTTTTATAGCTGACTAAGAGAGACATCAAGAAGTATTTCAAAATCCCTGATGGACAAGATGCTACAAGGAAGACTAAATCAAGTGTGGAAGCACATGGCAATAAGTGCTTTCTTGTTTACTATAGCAACAGTTGATGTATGTATTGGAGGATTAACTGAAAATGTATTTAGATGCTAAATTATTAGCTTGAGTGATGTATTCAATAAAATGCGGTTGTAGGTTTGAATTTAAATGGTATGAGGACTGCTTGTTTTTCCAAATCATCAAAAATAGTTAGGGTTACTTTAAATGAGAAGATCAATACCATTGTCATATCTGTATGCTAAATCTGAAGCTTCACTGAGCAGCTGGTTAGAATAGTTTAGCATAAAGACTAGAAACAGCTCGCCTGCCACAGTCAGGTCTTTTGAGCCCAGTGAAAAAAATTCCCCCGTACATAAGCACAAGCTTGCCGTTTCCCCTTGTTTTCAGTCTTTAGGCTAAGCTAAGCTAACTGTAACTTCATATTTAATGGGCAGATAAGAGACCGGTATCAATTGTCTTGTCAAACAGTCAGCAAGAAGGCGAATGTGGCCAAAATCCTGAACCATTTCTGTAACACAAAGTTTCGGTAACCACTGATTTATCACTACTTGGATCATATTTAGTAGCAGTATTAAGATCAGAACTTTTAGATGCTAAACCTGATATATAAACAGTCAAAATTCAAGTGCAAATTCATGTAACCTTACACAACACGTCAACTTCTGTACCTTATCCAAGTAGACATAATTTGGCAACCTCTTCTTGGCAACTGAGTGCACACACACACACACACACACACACACACACACACACACACACACACACACACACACACACACACACACACACACACACACAGATTACTCACATAGTCGGGCAAGGCTGTGTTGTCTCCCTGTCTGCCTCTCAGAGACTGTGTCGCCTGCTCCAAAACCTTGTTGTGCTTTTTGGAAAGCAAAGCAAATAAACTGCAGGAGAGACAACAGAGAGGGGAAAAGAAGTGAGAGCAGCAACGACAGATGAATGACACACTTCTACAAAGACTGAAGAACCCAATTACACATCGTCGTCACACTGCACATGTTGCCCAGTATTTAATGTGCTGTAAATTCTCAATGGCCTTCACTCACTTTAACTGAAGAGCAAAGCCTTTATTTAAGACAAATTATTATTAGAGGCGGGCCTGTTTTGCTTTCTAAATGAGGCCTTTCAAATAATTACTCTTAGAATAAGAAAACAATTATGACATTGGCAGGAGACTGTTTTAGAAATGATGTGTCAAAATGCTAAAAATTAGGCTTAATTTACCATTAATTTACAATCACAACTCCTTTTTCTAAACTGGCTTTGAGTAGCCTGAAGAGGTCACAGCCTTGGTTACTTTTCAAAAAATGTTATGTGTACATGTATGTGTTGTTGTCATTGTAGGTAGCTGACTTGCTTTACCCTTATTGCACTTGTTTGTGTGTGTACGCTTGTCCGGATGGGATTGCAAGATTGCATGTGATGGATGGGCACAGACATACGTCAAGAGTCCTAGAGTATGCTTGGGCGACCTTGGGTTGCAATAGGGCGAGTCAATACACACATGGGTCAGACACCATTAAAAGGCACGGTGTTCACTCGACATGTCTGGTCAAGCAAGAGAGTTGAGAAAAAAAACCCACTTTTTATTTTCTATGTTCAGCTTTGCGTAGCGTGTAAAGAACAACTCGCTGACATACGTAGTTGTTTTTAACTCTACAACAACAAATAATAAATAAATAAAAATATTTAAAAAGTTCTGTTATACTGGTTGTCTAAAATGTAATATTTTCCCCTTCTTGAGCTGTTTATTACATTTTATATTATCTATTACAGAGGCTCATGGTATTTATTGAGGTGATTAGTATTATAATTATTATTGACCTTCTGTTTTAATTACAACTTTTAATAGTCTTTCTAGACCCCCAAGGGTGTTGAATATTTAATCTGTGCGTCAATCATGGAAAAAAGCTGCAGAATAAATTCAGTTAAATGACAGTAAAGGGCTGAGGGAAAGTCAGATGCATGAACAGAGCTCAGCTAAGCCCCTTACAGCTACACCTGTCCATCTGTCAGCACTGGAAAACATACTCACAAAATCTCTCAGCATCCGTAATCCAGGCTAATTGGCCAAATGATGGCTGAATGGAGCTTTCTGAGCAGCTCTGAGGAGGTCTACTTGATATCTACAGACCTAATGTCAAAGGCTCTATTGGCCACGACGACTTAATAGAGCCTGTCGTACTATCTAGTTAGTTTCCTATTTCAAATGCGAGACCACCTGGGACGCTTGCCTACAAGAAAAGCACTGTGACTAGTCGCTCTGTCATATCCCTCATTTATGCCAAAGCAGTGACGGACACGGCCCAGGAAACAGCTACATAGAAGGATTTCCACACTGCTGGCCTGATCCCAAAATCAGTTATGAGGCTGAAGTAATGACAGACATGGTCCACCCTGACACACTGAAGATGTAAAGGTGCTCTGTCTCTACCAGTTCAAAGGACGCTTTTTGTTTTTTTATGTGGACACACACAGCGGGTAGCTGTGTGCGGTTCTTCAAAATCTGAATTTGTATGTATGTATTTGTATGAGTTCAGAATTTCAGCTTTTATTTCCTGGTACTCACATCTAGATGTGTTGCCACCCTTTGTTTGAACCTACCCATTTTTTAAGTGAGCAAAACTATTGGAACATGTGACTGACAGATGTTTCTTGTTGCCCAGGTGTTGCCTTTTAGGTTGATTGTCCAAACATTAAATAGCTCTATATGTTTGAACCAAGGATGAAACCTTAAGACTAGTCATGCAAAGACTGCATTTCCTGTTAAAGAGCAGGGTTCGCGTTAAGGAGGATCTGAGCTCCCATGGAAGCTGTAAAATCATGCATCTGTGGGGGTCTCGAATTCATTTATCAACAACTATTATTTTGAATCACTCTGTATCAATAATGTATTTTTCATTATAATTAGTACATACTATCATCACATTAAACAAGATAAACAGACTTAAATGAACACACTTTCCTAATGAACTACGCTGCGCATTGCATGACTGACAGGATGGCTGCACTTCTCCACTATCAGCCACTATCTCGCGCAAAAGTTTTGACCGAACAAGTTGAGGCCGCAACCCGTGAAAATAAACTCAGTTGTATTGTAGCCTATTACTCTGTATTGACTGCACCTTATTTGTTTAGTATTAATGGATTTTTGATGCATCCTCCAATTAGTACAGCGCTATAAACGATAATATGCTTGCTACTTTGTGCCGGTGACAAGCGGGGCGATTGAAACTTTGCCTAGTGTGAGTAGACCTACACCCTGTTGCAATATCACAGACATCTGGGGCAAGTAGTGGACTGCTGTGTGTGCGTTGGCGTGTGTGAGAGAGAGGGAAATGCCGCCGGTAACGTTAGGTAGTAAATTACAGACCTCCACGAAGCTCAGATTATAACTGGAACCCTGATAAAGAGGATAAACCAACATGAAGTCAAGAGAGCTGTCTATGGGAGAAAAGCAAGCCATTGTCAAGCTGAGAAAAGACCAGAGCCATTGGACAAACATTGGGCATAGCAAGCACAACAATTTGGAATGTCCTGAAAAAGAAAGAATCTACTGGTGTACTGAGCAACAACAGACGTCGAACAGGTCGGCCAAGGAAAACAACAGTAGTTGATGACAGAAATATCGTTGAGAGCTGTGAAGAAAACCCACAAAACATCAGTAAGTGACATCAGCAACGACCTCCACAGTGCAGGGGTGAAGGTATCACAATCCACTGTTCGATGAAGACTCAGAGAGCAGAAATATATGCCGCTTTTCCATTACCAGTACCAGCTCAACTATACTAGACTCTGTTTGGCCGTGCTCCGTTTTCCATTGCAGATAGTAGGCCTATCCAGAGATAGTAGGCCTACCCCTCAATGTAGCTGGTCGTCATAGCGACGCCACACACAACTGCCATGATGTAATGTTCAAAGCGACACAGCTTTCTCTTTATTTAAGTTAAAACATTTCAACATTACTCAGAATGTAAACACAGATGAGCGGCATGAACACCTTACAGCTGTGTTTTCCTCTGCTGTTGTTGCTGCAGCGGTACAAGAACAACTTTTCCACAGTGGAAAACCAAACAAAGGCGAGATGATGGTAGCAGCAGAATGAATTCAGAAGTGTACAAAAAACATTTTGTCTGCCAATTTGCGGAGAAATGCATTGAAACTGATCGGGAGGAAGTTTATCATGCAGCAGGACAATGACCCAAAGCACACTGCCAACAAAACAAAGGACTTCATCAGGGGGAAAAAGTGGAAGGTTTTAGATGGGCCAAGTCAATCACCTGACCTTAACCCAACAGAGCTGCATTTCACCTCCTTTAGAGGAGATGAAGGGAGAAACACCCCGAAACAAACAAGAACTGAAAGAAGCTGCGGTAAAAGCCTGGAATAGCATCACAAATGAAGAATGCAACAGTTTGGTGATGTCGATGGGTCACAGGCTTGAGGCAGTTATTGCAAGCAAGGGTTATGCCACCAAATATTAAATGTTTTTTACTTTAAGATTATCTGTTCCATTACTTTAGCTCACCTAAGAATGCTGTGGTCTAATACAAATGGTGATATGTCCTAAGTTGTTTAACACATCTAGATGTGAATAGCAGGAAATAAAAGCTGAAATTCTGAACTCTTGTCTCATACTCAACTTTTGATCTTAAACCCAAATGTCTTCAGTGAACAACAAAAACAAAGGAATTTGCTTTACCGTTCCAATATTCTTTGAGGGGACTATATGTATGTATGTATGTATGTATGTATGTATACAGCTATACAATTTCTGAAATTTTGTTAAGTAAAATGTAAATTAGTGTATCAACCACTTTTGTGATATATATTCAAAAAGACAAAAGATGTTTATTTACAGGCACTGTTTATTGCCTGTAAATAAACGGCACCAGCCATGTAACTTGTTACTGACATGGGTTTTTTTTGGCTTTCTGGTGGAGGTATGCAACGGTGAGTGGTAACATGACCTGAATAATTTCTCTACAGCAGAAGATTTAAAAGCAGTTACCGCAGTCTTTATCAAATAGTCTTCTAATATGCCAATTTTTGCAGTTACATTTTTACGCTTTTGTCCAAAACAACAAACAATGAACAAAACTTTTATACATCAAGCAAGCGAAAAACAATTACTGCAACATTTTGTCTTAAAACAAAAATGTTTGGTTAGTTAAGTGTGTTCCACTGCAAACTAGAGATCAATGATGATCAAATGATACTTAAAATACTGTTTTGATATTTCATTTGTCATCCTAGTCATTGTTGTCAGATTATTTGGTTCCAGCTTCTCAAATGTGAATCTTTCTCAGTTTTGGACTGTTGGTCAGAACCAACGAAACACTTTAAGACGTCACCATGGCTCTGCAAAGTTGTGATGGGCATTTTTTAGATCAAACAGTTTATCCATTAAATGAGTGTGTAACTGGTGGATTAATCGATTATGAAAATAACTGTTAGTTGCAGTCCTACTGTGAACTTAGCTGTATCCTTTTAGTCAGCATGCTTTAGAGTAATCAGTGAATGAATGGACACATGGGCATGTGTGGTGACAATGCAACAGAAAGGGAATATTGATGAAGAGAGAGGATGAATATAAAATAATATGGAAAGGTTTGGGTGGTGGAGGCTATTCAAACCCACTGTTGCCTGTAAATAAACAGCACCAACTGTGATTCTCTCCGAGAGTCAATTAAGGAGCAGAGTTCAGCACTGCCTGGCAGACATTTGGAAATTCCTGGCAGGAAATTCCCTTTATCTAGCCAGCCAGCCGGCCAGCCAGCCAGTTTAGCCCAGCCCTGGCCATCACAGTCATCATCATTACCATTATCATCAGACATGTAGTCATTTGCTCTCCATCACTACAGGACTGACATGAACACGTTCACAGACAGTGTTCCTCTCAAACTCAAAACACCAGATAGTTACAGATATGGAGAGAGACACAGGCAGGGAGATAAGAGGATCCTTGAGAGTGAGCATGAATGTGTGCACATCTTTAGGGAAGGAAACATTCATTGCTGTGTGCCTGGAGTTAACAAACAGACACGACACGAATGACTTGATGTTTGTGTGTGTATGTCTGCGGTTTGGACCTTGCCCTCTCAAGTCTTCCATCTCCTCACAGGCCAAACCCTTTCCCTCCGTTGCATAATGTTCTTCTGTACACAGGCACATCAGTCTGTCAATATTTCATTTCTTAGTCTCTTCTGCTGCAGCCATTGCCAAGTTACTATAACACTAAATATTTTTGTGCTGATTCGATGTGAATCACTAAAATGAATGAGTCTGCTTGTGTGTGAATTAGAAATCCCACCCTTGTATCTGTTTTGAATTATTGGCCAAGTATGTGTAACCATACAGGGAATTAGACCTTTTTTACTAAAACTCTATATACAGCATATAATGCATCTATGATGTACTGTATACGCTGGTGGCTTCTTTGCTTGCATCACACAGATGCCACTTACTTTTGGCAGACTTTACTCACATTCATGCTCTGGGGAAGGCCTCTGGCTGAAACACAAGTACTGCTTTGGTGGTGTGCCACTATTTTCTACTTTAATAACTGATTAGTATTTTTGAGGTTGAGCGCCTACTTTCTCTTTGAGGAGTGCTTTATTTAATTCAAATTGTCGGTCAGAAAGGGAGCACCATTCAGCACAGAATTGGTAGTGGTGGACAATATAAGACGATGTTGTCAGAGATTTTGCCATACCACGTATACTGTGGTAGAAATGCTTTATCATCCCTAGGTGTATTAGACCATTGTTGGGTAGGCTGTAAATCAAAGAGCACAACTAAGGCAGTGTTAGCCAAAACAGACATATCCGTCTGGTTATTTCATCCATGAACAAATACTGAATTTATTAAATTAAACATGTATTGATAGTGATTTTAAAATCATAAATAATGAGGATTTTGTCCATATATCCCATTCCTAGTTGGATGATTATCAAAAACTATTAAAAGGTCAAGATCCAGATTCTAATTGAAACCAGTCAAGACAACCTATTCAATGTCAAACAGGAAAAGTCACTTAGTACTGTTTGTTTAAAATCGCACTTAATATTCTTCCAAAGGATAGATTTACCTGAGTAAGTTGAGAACTGTAGTAGGTCGTATAGAAAATGGTTAGATGGAAGGATAAAGTCCTCACCTGATGATGCGCTGGGCAGCGTACTGGTGAAGGCATCGAAACTGGCCTGACATGTTAGCAAGTGCAGCCAGACAGTTGGTGTGCAGGTACTTATCCTAGGGAGGATGCACACGCAAACATACACATTAACTGATGTTGCTGTTAACCTGCACTTGACTGTTATTTCAAAGTTACATCATGACATTCAAATTCACATTTGGGTCTATAAAGGCATCTACTGTTGATGTATTTCTGAATGTACAGTCATTTGCTTTGCAAGTGTACACACTGTGTGTGTGACACGTGTTAAACTAACCCTTGTCCGGGTCATGTTGAATTGGATGGTGCGGATGACCACCAGGATGAGCAAACTGCCAAGTGAGATCTCTGTCAGTGTTCTCTCTGTGTACCATGAGATGTTCTTCAATACCTGCAAAATAAGAGAGACATCAAAATTCCTGTTGGAAACATCAGGAATGATTTACACTTATTCCCATAAATGGAAGGTTTCAGTGGCAGTAGCTGAAATGTCAACAATGTAAATTAAACTATGTCTACCCACCACCTCATGGATGGAGCGATTGAAGGCATCATCCTCTGTAAGGATGAGGAGAATAATGAGGGCCATGTAGACATGATGAGAATTTCTGTCCTCCACGTGGTAAAGGATCTCAAGGATGGGCAACACCTGAGAGGAAGCGTGGGAGAGAAGGAGGAATGCTGAGCATGTGTGTAGGTGTCTTTTTCTCATTTTGGTGCCTTTGACCGGAGAATTTGTGGATGTTCTGGCAAATTGGGATTAAGGCCATGGAGGTGGGACAATCAAACAGCATGAGGGGGCAAAAATGTCAATATCAATCTTGCAACAGATGCCAGTGAAAAGCTGAGTACAAACATAAGAGGTATGCAAATTCAAAAATGTATTACCTGTATTATTCTATTTAGGGAAAGGAAGCTTTTTGTGTCTTGCCAGGGGGCTTTGTTAAAGCTTAATCTACCAACTAGCCCAATAAAATTACATTACTACTTTACTATATAAAGCCAAGTCATTATAGTTACTATACTCTTGTTTCCACATGAGTATCAAGTAAAACAGACAATAAAAGTGGAAATGCAGCATGCATATGCAAGTTGAAAAGACACAATTTTCATTATTTACTTTTTATTTTAAATTCTGAATCATGGCTGCTATTATTTATATTATATATATATATATATATATATATATACACACAGATGTTATATTCAAAAGTATACAGAACAGATGGTTAAAGTGATCAGCTATTGAGAAACAAATGCAAAAGATTTAATTCTCAGAGTGGAAGCAGTTAGCAGCTAACATTGTGAGCGATGAACACCAATAGTTGCGGTGCTACCTCATTACACAGTCATGCATCTGTGCTTTATTGCGCAGCAGAGAAAGTGGCTAGACTCATTAGCAGGCACCCTACATAACAAGCTCAATCTAGATCTGCTAAGAATAATATTTTATATATTATAATATGACAGTTTCTAGGCATGGCTACTGTCAAGAGTTTATACTGCAATTAGTTTGATTTATATTGTCGCTCCTTATAAACCTGGTACAAATATACATACAGTACACAACTTTAACTCCTACTTCTATTCCTATCCAATAAGACCAAATCATTCTGCGTTATTCTGTGTGAAAGAGACTCATTTATGACTGTCTAACACTCATGGAAAACCATCTGACATGCTGAGCTAAAGATTGATTTTCATTCAATAAATGCCTCAGTACATATACTACTCTGCTATAAAGAATAACTGTCACTGTCCATGTTTCATGGTCCTAGATGAAACGATTTCATGGCCATACTGTGCAAGGACGGACTGAATAATGTGTTTTGTTGAGGATCACACTTTTTAACAGTGTTCTTTGCTTTTGCATTGCCAATAAACTACACAAAATGTCATATTGAGACTTTATGAATGTGCACGCATTGTAAATGAACAACTTTTTTTCATTGCTATCCTACCCACCAGATTGTCCATGTCGGTTCTGGAGAGCATGTATGTCCTCATGTTGGCATTCTGGTGAAGGAGGGTGTACAGTAGTAGTGTGGCCTGGTCAGAGCGCTGCTGCTCACACAGCGCTGTGTACAGACTGTTGAAATTGATCTGGAAAGTGTGAGGTTGCTCCACAGGAAGCGATGACGTGTCTACATGGGTAGAGGTGAATATAATCAGGATTAGAATTTTATTACAATACTTCAAAAGCCTCTGGTACATTTCATACACATTACCAAACTCTCAAATAAATGTACAACAAATTAAAATAAAACAAATATATTACCTTGTGTGTTTCTGAAACAAGTAATAGCCTGGCGGTAGGGGTTGGGCCAGTCAGGCCCATCCGTCAGATTGGCTAGGACAAGCAGTAACAGAAGGCTCTGATTGGACAAAGGTAAAGGGTTGTGTTCCTGGTCTATCCCAGCTTTGCTGCCAGCTCCACCCAATGTGAAAACACTCCACAGCCCACCTGAAGACAGACACACAAATACAGACACAGATACAATTTTACAAACATGAGAAATATTTGCAGACAATGTTGCATTAAAAGCAATAATTGACTTATATTGAGTTTATATTCAATAAATAAAATTTTGGTCTCAGCTCAGGAGGGAAATATTTGGCTCTTTAGCTGCTGAAAGCTCCACTAGCTAGCCTTTTCTCTGAAAACAGCTGCCTGTTGTTGCCGAAAACGACGCTATGAGGGCAGCAAAAGTAAACCAGGACAGTAAAGTTGTGGGCCGGACTAAAAAACAATGAGCTAAAACTCACTATAAGCTCAGAGGGGAGCTGCAGATTCAGATGATATTTTTCTGTAGTTCCATCATTATGAACTACCCCCTTTCACATTGTCATTTGATACATTATTATTATAAATAATGCTTATAGCCAGTTTAAGTACAGGAAAATATTTCAGATCTGTGTTCTTTAACACACACTCCTGGTTTTCTCAGAGTTGGATTTCAGCAAAGACTGGATAAGACAAGACTGGCCTGAGAACTACAGTTCTAGGTTTCAGTATAACAGATGGGTAATCTGTGCAGGATCCAGTACTGAAGAGCAGTCAGAATGTGTGTGTCAACCTTTTTGTAGAAAGCAATAAAGTATTCCCACAACTTGCAGCTCTTCAGCCTTATGACTGATATACACTTCATAGACAAATGAATGCAAGATTGTGTGCAGTCAGACTGATGTAATCAAGGCCAAAATAGGCACAATGGAGTCACACACGATGGTTTGCAGCACCTGAAATTTGAAACAACATAGACGGCGCCACAGAACAAAGAGAAACTGGAACTACTGACTAACTGGAGTGGTGTTCGTTTTTCTTGTTGGGGGACGAGGGGGAGCCGAATTTCCAAAGAAGTGCTGGTGCTTTCAGGCGTCACAAGAAGCACGAGAAGCATGAACACCAAGGTACACAGATGACAGTCTCTGGCTCCTGCTCGTCTAGCCACACAATGCACGAACCAAGCACTAGTGAGACACAGTGTGAGTGTGTTGTAGGTCCACACTAATCAAGATACTGAATTTGAGGAGAGGCGAAATAGATTTGTTGCCATCTGGTGGTGAAGGACAGAAGAGCGCAACACCCCTCTGACTGAACTTGCACACACTCTTCTTGCTAAGAGTATCCTGATCTGGATCGATGCAACTATGACACACTTGGGTCACCAGTACGCTTGGTTACCGAACCAAAAAAGACTTAAGTCAATCGAACAAGGAGACAGTTTAAATATTAAAAGGGATGAAATGGGAGGCCATGTCCCAATGTGTACTCGTTTTACTGTTTTGACAGGATAAAGGATCAACTTGTGACTGACAAAGAACACGCAAGGTTGAAACCGTTCAAAGTTTTAAACCATTATGCATGACAAAATACTTTCCTACTTGCTCTGCCTAAGAGTTTCTTTTCAGCAACTCATGACGGTTTACGCTATTTTAATTAACAACCATGGTTTATTTGTTGGTTTGCTTCTAAATTCACTAATGGCTAGTAAAGAGCTTCTCCAACACTCTGTATGACTGTGTATGAATGTGTATGCAACTCCAGTGAGGAGGGGAATGGATTTGTTTATATCTGAGCAAAAGGACATCAACAAACTGCAGAAATCCCCGGGAGAGATATTACATCACTTGCACTGGTCAGTCTGTCTCCCTCCTCACACATGATACTCTTTTTTTCCCCTACTGCTCAGATAGAGAAGCGAGTGTGAGAGAAAACAAGATCTGGGGAGGGTGGGGGCAAGTTTTGACGGAGCCCTGTTCATCTCATCACTGGCACCACAGTGACTAGCCCAACAGTGTCAGAGAGCCGAGTCTGGCAGCCACATTTCCCACACACACACACACACACACACACACACACACCTCTATTTTACCTTAGTGGGTGCTGTTTGTTATCCGTCTGGCTCGGTTCCCTCTGCCTGTCTGCCTGCCCACCACATAAACCCAATAATGCTACACTGCTTAGGCTGCTCCGGCCCTGGCCAGCTGCCCAGTGGAAAAAGAGGAGGAGGACACGAAGAGGAGGAAAGGGAAGGGGAAAGTGAGGAAAAGAGAAGGTCGTACGCGGACACGGAGGCTGGCACACTGAAGGACTCGGGGGAAGGTATCGTACTGTGAGACACGAAAATACACAACCACAGTCAGGCTTAACTTGAATATAAGCCTGTATCCACAAACCTATTAAATTGATCTTTTCATCTTTGAAAACTCCTCATGACCTACAAATCTTTACAGGCCACAACATTTACAAACTGTAATGTGTCCATTAAAACGGGCCCAAAACACGTTTTTGTTCGACTAAGCCTTGGTTTTAGGATAGAAGGCTGTGATGTCCATATTATAGTCTTACATAATGACCACCCCCATCAGACATGACTGCTGGCACTGAGTCAATTCCTGTATTCAAACTAAACCATTGCCACGCAACCAAACATCTGCAGTATATCCGAGCCTCTGAAAATCTCTTCTTCATCCAGATCTGCCCCCTGACATCTACTTCAATCGACCCCCCCGCGTACCAAATCCAGATTCAATATCATGGGTATCATCAAACACACTCTTAATGACACTGCTGTTATTAGACTGTTGTTTGGGGAAATATTATTACTTTCCTTAAACAGCACTGTAGTACTTCTTATTTTCAGCCTGAATAAAGTTGTTACGTACCCAATTACTATTTGAGGAATGTTCACTTATTTTTCTGTTTTAAATCACTATATGCAGCTGCTAAAAGTCACAATAATGGTTTTGATACATTGACTGCCATCAATGGGGTCACGCCACTATCATGGGTAAAAATATATATATTACCAAAAGAGACCAAACCTCTGTTAAGTGGGTTAGACATCTGGTTTTCAATATCACTTTGCCATGCGCGCATACACTTGAACACCATTGTGAACATCTTGATGGCCGTGGAGACACTAGAGAAGGGAGTGAGGTGGGAAATATTTTCTCATAGTTACAGCTGAGAACATACGCTTCAGTGCAGACAGAGATGTGAACGCCGGGTGAGCAGGGACAGACAGAATGTGCTACTTACTTATTTACTTGCATAACAGTGAATGAAATATGACATCAGGGCTTCAAGCCAATGCTTGGCCAAGCACACACAGGGAAACATGCTGTACAGACAATAAACAAACAATATTCGGATTATCACACAAATCAAAATATGCTCAAAGCACTTCTACCCAAACCCAATCCAAAACCCTTCTAACATAAACATATACAAAATATGAGAACATTCCACAGACTTACAATGATTTTGTAACAAAGTTTCATCCATAAGCCGTTACATTAATCTTCTGATACCCTTTCCCAGTGTGTCACATTTTCTGCTGTATGCTGTACTAATGACAGCAATGAGAAACATAGGGATTGCAAAGGATTTATCTTTATACATGTCTGCTTTTAGGCATGGTGGCTCAACTAGTATTGTTTGTGTGTCTGTGTGAGAGAGCGGTTAAAGGTTACAGGAAAACACACAAAACATACAAAAAGTGCATGTGAGAGGAGCGTAAAGTACAGCAGTAAAGGAGAATAATGGACAGGAGAGTAAAGTGGAGTGAAGTGAGCAGAGGAGAAGAGAGGGGAGGAGAGTAACTTAGAGTAAGCGAGAGTCAAGTCGACTAAAG